CTGCAGTCCAGGGCCTTTTACATTTAAAGATATGGTCTACTCAGGGAAAAAACAAAACAAAACTCATTGCGGGGGGGTTGGTTTGTTAGGAATTTATTAGTGATATATATTCTGAAAATTCTGCATCTCATCCATTCAGAAAGAAGTTATTCTTTTTCTAATCCTTTCAGTTAATTATTCTAGAAAATCACCCACAAAATGATACATTATTTGGAATATTAAAAAAAAATCTATGTATCTTAGAATAGCTGCAATCTAAACACAAATACCAATATCATGATTTATCTGAAATCATTAACTTTGAATTTCCATAGAACATTGTTAAAATGAATTACAACACTTACCTCAGGACTAACAGTACAGCCTTCTTTCACATTTTTCCTCATTCGGAGTTCTATTTCATGTCTTAATGCTGCAAGCTATTAATGGAAAACAACAAAATCCTATGAAAATCTTCAGCTAACAAGTATTCCAGTTAGTTGTCTTTCATAAGCTTATAGGAGTTATAAAGTTACACACATGAACCTCCATGTAAATTCTACTTACATCCTCCTCTTTGGTAAGATCGAACTCCCGAGAACTATCTTTAAACAAGGCCACGTGGTGAGGACCTTCACTAAGAGTAACCTGAAATTAATGGAGAATCGAGAGGTAGTAATGCATTTACAATTCATACTGATCCCATAGGACTTACATGGTCTAGAGGCGCCCACTGCACTGCATAACTCTGGGCATGCCCTCATAGCACACATCAGGAACACCCCTGGGGGCTGTCAACATGGCAGTACAGAGACTATAGAATTTTTTATCTGTATTGTCCATACATCTCTTGCATGTGCTGTAATTTCCCAACAAGACTGATGGCTACTCTTTATCTTTCATGACCTAAAATTAAATGCTGCTGCCCGTCTCCTTTCCCAGTCAAGGCTGTAAGGCTACTGAGCACAAAACCATCAACCTAAAACTTGAAAAACAAAAAGAAATCTTGGATTTAACTTCACAGGTCAACTTAGGTAAAGGACAATTCATTTATTCAATTTCTATCTATTGAGGGCTAACTGTGTCAAGTGTTCCAGGGGGGGAAACAAAGAACAGACTGTCCCTGGTTTAGATCTCACTGAGATCTCCTGGGAAGAAATATACACAAAGCTAACAGGACAGTGTAGCAAAACCTAGGTGCACACAAGACTGACCACAGGGGAGCTAAGGCAGCCTTCACCCAAGGAGTGAGTGACATCTGTATAAGGAATTTTCTAACAGCTTATATATCAACAGTCAGGGCTTTCATGAGAACTTTTAAGTTCACATTCCTTTACTTTTCAGTTGTAACTTTTCAAGTTTATAATGATCCGATTTCACTTTTTAAAATACAATTCCTTCTACTGAGACAAGCTAAGCAGGCTAGATAACCAATAAAACTCAGCTGTTTGAAGGCACTGGAGAGCAACCATGGCAGCCTGGACTTGGTCCAAGACCCCAGAGGATTTTAGGGCACACTCCTACGGCTGTTTTCCTTCAGGGTGCTTGCAGATTTATGGCACAGGGTAGCATAAGAGAAAAGGTTAAAACTTGAAGCGGTCTTACTGGGTTGAGGAGACAAGATAAGAGATCAGGGTATCAAGCATCCCTGGGTTAAGGTGGTAAAGCCCCAGAAAAAAAGACAGCAGAAATGAATCTCCAAAGACCAAGCCCTACCTTTTGTGCACAATTTCCCCATAAGGTGTTTGCACATGAGTTAACAAAGCAGAAAGAATCTGCTAAAAAGGCTAAAATGCTAAGTCAAGATTCTGGCAATCTGTTTAGGAGAGACAAAAATCTGGTGTTCAGAGTCCATCAAGGAGGAGAAGTCCTGGTAAATTCTAGAGGTGTAATGGTGAACTGGAGAGAAGGAAATCTGTCCATGATTTACTTGTCTGCTAGAAGAAAATTAATTCCTTCCTAAAATATAACATCATTCATAATGTTATTTTACCAAAACATCATTCATCATGTTATTCATATAACAGCCGCTACAATTAGAATGCTAGTGGCAATGTAGAAGGTAGGTTTTTACAATGTTTTTAGAGATGATTATAGAGCAAGATATGAGGTGCAGTCAGATTTCCCCCCACTGGAAATATCCCAAGTGCCCATCAATAGTAAAATGGATCTATAAATTTTGGTGCATTCACACAAAACTACAGAACAATGGAAAAGAAACTAGTTTTACACAACATAGTTGAATTGACACCCAGACCCAAAACAGTGCATTCTGTATAAATCACACTAGACTGCCTATTGCAGTTATGAACAGACTTCATTTCTGGAAGATTTTAGCATCAGCCTTATTGTCTATTTTGGCCTTCGTTCTTGGTGATGTCAATTTTCTAATTCTCCAATTACTCTACAACCACCAGCTAAAGTAAAAGAAAACACACACCCACACATACCCACACCCATACAGCTTTCCCTCAAATTTATGTCCACAGATTTTTTTTTTTTAGAGAGAAAGTGCCCATGTTGGGGGTGGTGCGCAGAAGGACGGACAGAGGGAGAGAGAGACTCTTAAGTAAGCCCCACACCCAGCACAGAGCCCAAAGTGGGTCTCAATCTCATGACCCTGAGATTATGACCTGAGCCAAAACTAAGAGTCAGATACTCAACCGACTGAGCCACCCAGGCACCCCTGTATCCACAGATCTTAATGGAGCCCTTAGTATAGCTCAGGAATCCTATTATCTTGCCTTCTGTCATCAACTCACTTCTGGAGTCACCACTCGCCAAGAAAGACTTAGCTCAATTTTTAATACCTTCCCCCCTCTTTACTTCACAGCTGATAATCTAGCCTCTCGTTTCATTCCCTGCTTCCCCTACTAGAATGTATTCTCCATTATGGCAAGGATCTTTGTTTTGTTTAACCAACACACTGCTTAGAACAGTGCTGAATGTATTAAGCACTCTATAACTATTTGTTGAACGAAAGACTGTAGCCATAGACTTTCTTCCTGTGACTGCAGATGAACTGTTAGAACGTCTATATATTGCATGCTGAGTCCCAGCCTTCTACCTCAAAGACCCTACTACTGCAATCAATTGTTCCCTGTCTCTTACATCATCATTTTTATCTCTCAAAGTAGATCATTATAATCAGTATGTAAATATCTTTCCCTTGACCCAATACATTTCAACTGCTACTGCCCCATTGCTCTATCTTCTTACAGTAAACCAGGAAAATTATCTATATTTACTGACTCCAGGTCCAATATTCTTATCTTCTAACTCAGCCTCTCAGTGACCTCACTCTGAATAAAATCCAGGATCCTAACAACAGCTCAGGGCAGCCAGGCCCTACCACGCCTCTGCCCTCCTCTCTTCCATCACCCGCTCCGCTCCTGTCACACTCGTCTCCAGGCTGTGCCTCCACCAATTTCCACAATAGGACTAATTCCCAGTGCTATGTATCAATTCCTTTTAGTTACAATTCTTCACTTCAACATAATGAACAAACTTCACTGAAGCAGCTACCTTCCTGAGGAGCTCCCTCCAGATGGCCTACTGTCCTACCTTAACCGGAGAGCGTGTCATCATTTCCCCAGATCCTCGAGGGAATATCCGTGCTTGGGCAATCATTTCCAACACACTAGTTTTTCCAGCACTCTGGTCTCCAACCACAACCACCTTACCATAGAACACATAACATTAATTCAGATTTTTAAATACAGGCTTATATTTAAATAGGAAATACCGCTGAGATTTTTCAGTCTTTTAAAATACCTACAGTTAAATGATTTTAAAAATCCCATCCATAAAAACAAAGACAGTTTACCTCTATGCATATTGAAAATACAAACAGCAAAATCTTAATTGGATCCATTATTTATAACCAAATTTTTAATAAAAAGTTGTGCTAATTAAGCCACCACTTCTAAAACCAGATCATTCATGGTCTACAAATCTTTTCCACAGCCAGTTTACTCTTCATAAAAACATTTTCAACTTTATGATGTTAAATTTCACTCATTGACTAATTTCATCCACTGTTCCGGAATTTTAGTTTCATGGATGTTACAAATGCATAATGCCAAGTACCTGATAACCTTACTTCATTACACATAAATATAAGTAAGCCAATCGACCAAAATAGTCAAACAACATTCAATGCTTAAGACATCATCTAGAGCACATAAATAACATTATATAGGTAAAAAATATATGTCTCTATTTATGTCTGTGTGGTGTGTCCATATGTATATGGCTATACTGTGTGTCTGAGTGTGTATATATATATACATATATATACACATATATAGACATACATAACTTTTTTAAACCCTAAAGTGTTTTTTTGCTAAAGAGTAAGTTCACTATGTATTAATTTTTCACTTACCCTTGGCAGATGATCTTGTGTATTGTAACTGGCATCATAATCAGATAGAACATCAAGAACTTCAGAATACATGTCAATCAAAGATTTCTATAAAATTTTAAAAATTAGTATTAAACAATGAACAAATTAAAGAAAATCAGATGTGTCAAGAGAAAAAAAAGCTGATAAATCCAAAACGTTCTTCCATAATGATTGTATTGTTTTTTTCTAATTACATAAATAACACTTTCATAGTAAAATGGTATAGAATAAAATTCCATTTTTTCATATTCAATTTATTTAGAGATATGTTGATTTAATATAGTACCTTAACTGAGGATTTCCTAACCTTCCAATTAAATGTTAAAAGAGGGAAGTTACTGTTTAATATTGAAGAGCTAATATTAAATGCCCAACAATTAAAGGCCAGAAGAGCATCAAGGGCAGGCATCCTGCATTGTTTCTCTCTCTAGGACCCGGACAGAACATGGTACCTGGCAAATAATAAGCTTCAAGAAAGTATCTGAAGAACAAATGAATAAATAAATAAACAAGTGAGGAAAAAAAGGACTACTATGCCAAGCATTTAATAATTAAAGACAAGTTTCAATGCAAGGTAGGAAGAAAACGAGGGCCTACATTTCCTTTCATCTTCCTAACACCAAGAAGTAATTAAATGGAAAGCAACTGCTATCCCTTCCACCTAAAAATAAACAAAAAACTCTTGAAATTTTCATTACTATTTCATTTTATGAGAGAAAACACCGTTTTTGAGGTGAACTCTCAAAATATATTAACACTGGACATGACTTTTCTCAATTGCCATGTGTAACTTGTGAATAAAGCCATGCTATTTATCTGTTTTATGCAGACATAATTTAGAGTCAGAACTACTAATACATGTTGATTAAACTAGAACTACTTATCTTTGGACCTTGGCCTCAGAATACATGTGCCATGATTTATTGTAGGTTTGCTACACACAAAATCTGTTTACTTATATGAGATATAAGTTAAAAATATTACTTCAGCTTAATTCAGCAAATACTGCTTGGTTTAGTGGGCAATAATGAGATTTAACTTACTGATAATGGTGATTACCAACGTGCTGATAAAAATACTAGCATATGCTTTTTACAAAAATGCTTTAAAATGCCTAAGAAACCTTCCAGAAGAAAATGTAAAATTCTTATAAAACTGAAGAAAGTAGACTAATCATTCCCTGGAAATACAAGTAAGTTATGATGCTAAGTCATATCTACATGTCCCTCAACTCACAATTCTGACTTATAGCTACAGAAATTAAATAAGCCTAAAGACAAATGGGGTATTTTAGAAAACTAAATTGATTCACAAGAAATGACTGTCAAAAGAATGAAAATTGTATGGGCCTCATATGAAACAAATGTCTGGTGACTATAATTTATGAGGTGTCTTAATATAGGAAAAGACTTCCCTATCTCCCAAGGATATCAGGTTAGAAAGAAAAGGATAGAACACATTACAGCTTTAAAAACTGGTATTGATGAACGCACAATGTGAAGTAGCAAAGTTCTGGAACTAGCAAAATTAAGGTAAGCTGAAAATACCTTAAGTTTTCTGTGATGGATGCCTTTGTCATCTTTCTGCAATACTAATTTTCTTAATTCTTTGTTCTCTTTTTCTAACCGTTCCAAGATCCTCTGGTACTTTAACTGTAACAAAATAACACCATAACTATGTAAGAAAAAGATGAGTTAATAATTTAATTAAGTCTAAATTAAAATCTTCCAAAATCCTGAAGTCATATTTCCTGAATATTTAAAATGAATTATTTCATTTAAAAAGCTTCTTCAAAAATGTTGAGAGAATAAAATCAATTATGAAAATTATCGCAAACAGTGGAATTCATTTTTCTATTATAATCTGGCATTTTATTTGGAAAATTCTTTGCTATTTACAATGAAGAAACTGAATTATTTAAAAATACTAAAATGTAAGAATTTAAAGAAGCAAGTTCTTAAGTACACTCAATTTTTTTTTTTTAAAGA